CTTTTATTTTACTGGAAGAACAGATATTCCGGAAATCTAAGAGGAAAAATATTAATTTAAATAGTATTAAATTGTGGTTGATCTTCTCACATACAGTTTAACTGTCATTAACTGTTGAAGATACCAAACTTAAAATGCTACCCTCGTTATCTCACTTCCAATATTGTGGTAATTATTTTTCTATCACAGTCAGAAGAAAAGTAGAAACAAGAAGTATTTTTAAAATAAAAAAATATAAGAGAAATTAAAAAAAAATACAAGAGAAATTAAAAAAAATCAGCTATGATACTTACGGATGGCTTGTTCTTTTTCTTGTAGAAATCTTTCCAACACAATACGAGCCATCAATGATGGGGCAAAGTCCACCTAAGCCCAACAAAAACAAAAATTTCAAAACAAAGAATTTCAGGAGGTAAATGCACTTAGATGCATGCTTTGCAGAACTGTAATCTATTTGTAGATTAAAACTAAAGAGCAAAATAGAGGAAACAGGACCTTTTACCAATTATCAAACTTGACTATTTGCACCAAATGTGTAGTAGTAATCCACAGTGCCAGTGGAAAACCAAATAAAGTAGACAACATAAAATCCTAGTTATTATGTTTGTACATTTTGCATCTGAACCACCCTTTGTAAAAGACGACAATGAAATCCCTTTTATAAGGTTATCTATCAAGGAAAAGAAGTGGTGATCCTTTGCTATGAATCCTTGTTCATGTGGTACCCATCAAGTGATGCCACACATCCTTAGCATCAATATCTCTGGCAGATGTGTTGGGCTCAGACAAAATTACTAGAGTTTATATTTTGATTTTAAACAAAGCCATTCCTTCATTTCAACTTTTTTTATACGTATGAAAAATGCATAACCTAGTTGCTCCTGAAATAGCAATAGCTTTTTGGATGCCATTAAAATACTGCTTTAGTGAATCAGAATTTTAACTATGAGACAGCAAACCTTGGCCACACAGTGTCATAATGAACTTTCTTGACATCTTTTCAAGTTCGCTATTAGTGCAAAAATTTTATCTTGATTTAGTAACTACACAAAAAAGGCTACTCCATTTGTACATACATATTTTTGCAAATATGCATGTACTTGGATGGCCTTAAATTCCCCAAGTAGAGAGAAATGCTTTCCATGGAGCTGCTTATTTCCAGTAACCCACATCAGAGCTGACACATGAAAAATGGTGAAATTACTGAAGGTAGTCCAGCCTGAATAAGGACTACCTTATTAGTTCAGGTACTTGCATCGCCCTAATTTTCATATTAATCATGTGTCCATCTTTCTTTGAAATAGGGCCATCATGCTTCATGTCAGAATTTAGCATGTAAGTAAAATTCATAGTGCTTCAAATCTCACTTGAAAATATTTGTATGAAAAGAACACTGACTGATTTTATTTTTTCTAACAAAAATGTAATTTATTTTAGTCTTTTTGTATTACATAAACAATATGAACTGTTGGCAAATAATTTCATTTTAAAAATGAATCAGAAGTAGTTTTATAAACCCTCAAAAAACATCCCCAAAAGATAACAACATGGAGCTTTTCCTATTTAACAGAGCTGCTACATACTGTAATACAGCTATGTTATATATTTCTCATCAATTTTTACAGTTTCCACTGATTAAATATATATTGACTCATAAAGTATTGCCATTACATCAATTGTCAGCAGATGCAAGAGTGTGTCATTTAAATATTAACTATCATATAAAAATGGCAGCTTGATTGTTTGGAAGCAGTAATCTGAGGCTGGTTATTGCCACGTTTCCCTAATGCATTAGGTGGCAGTCACAAAATACATTGCCTTTCTGATATACCTGCTACTACATAACCAGAAGCAGGTAAGTTCTTTATGTAGCTCCCCTTTCTCTTAGATTTAATTTTTATTTATTTCTGAACTGCAGATATCTTTGATCTGAATTGCAAAAATGCATTAGTGAAATATAAACAAAGATATGCTCACTGGAGTCAGAAATTATATGCATCATCTCTAAATCAATGGGAAAAACATACAAAGAACCAGTAACAGATATATTACTCTGTGCTTGAAATATTTTTATGACAGTTCCCATATAATACAGGAGCAATATATCATCCATTGGGATGTTTACCTAAATTCTTAATAAGATTGTACTTATCTATGTAAAGTACATTTTATTCTCAGTACTTTAAGACTTGTCTTTTCCAGAGATGGTAAAAAGCTATACATTAACACTAATATGAAATAAATTCCTGATTCTATGCTAACTGTACGATCAGGTTACACAGACACTTCACAGACCATTAAAACCTTCCAGTAATTGATAGGTAATCGCTCATTTGCTGGCTGCAGCAATGTACATGAGAGAAAAACCATTCCTTTTTACTAATGTAACATGGAGAACTTGCTGCTATTGCTACACTTAATGTTCACAGTGCCATATCATTTTTAATGCAAACACTCATTTTCTGCTTCCTTCTTACATTTTCTATTAAAATGCAACACAAAACAGCATACATTTCATTCTATCCCTTTGAGGATTGCATAAGCAGTTCCAGGGACTATCAGCTATTGTACTGTTACTATTACGGTAAATAAATATTTTAGAGTTTAAAAAACAGGTATTTCAACAATTTTTTTTTCAAGGAAACTCCTTGCCATTCCTTCAAACTTTTTACTTCTTCTTTAAGCTAGTGCTACAATAGCAGTTTTAAATGCAAATAACACCTTGTATAACAAGGCAAATTCATATTCTAGTTAATAAACAGCATCAATAAATTTGTCAAGACTTTAATGGCATCTGTACAGAACTTTTTATACACTGAGGAATTTATTCTGCTTAAGTGCTTTATCTTACTCAGTTTTGATTAGCCATCCTCTAATCCATATGAAAAGAAATAAACGGAGTCAGGAAAATGATCTGTTTTAAGTCTTCCTATTACTAAAAAATAGTAGTAACTTAGATGGGTTTTGTTATTAAAAGCAAGCAATCAAACTGATACAACTCCATTTAATCAATGTGAGAATTTTTAATAAGTTTATGCAGTCTGTCTGAAATTTTCAGCAAAATACAAATGCAGGGTATCTACACATTTGCCTTCAAGTTAAAAGACTAATTACATGAACTGATTTATTAATAAATGTGGCTTTTTGTCTAATTATTTTAAGTACTAACAGACTGGGGAACCATTTAAAATGTCTAATGTGCCTTGAAACCATTTTTTTTAGGTTAATTACATTTCTCACTAAAGTCACTATAGATATGCCCCTCAGGTTTTACACCCGAAGATTAAAGAAAAAAGAAAGATGATTACCTCATTGGCCAGGTCCAGTAATACTGGGGCAGCTGCATTTTTCTTCACGCCATTCAGGTATCTAGACAAGACAAAGCCAGGTAATTTCGCAGTGGCAAGAAAAGGCCAGTTTATACATGTCAGCATCCCTTGTGAATCTTTTTCATTTGAGGGAAAATACCCCATTACAGAGTATTTAATGGGAAATCTTTTAAGAAGCAAGTATTTTAATCTTCAGGGTTGTATCCTATGCAATTCATCTGCAAATTATATCCATCTCAAGAAGTCCCTGGTAAAAAACCCAATATATCAAAAATTTTAAAAATGTGGCTTAATGACACACAAATAAATTTCATCTGTACTACTTAAAGATACATCACAGACAAATAAACCCCTATTATTCACTGTAAAGATTTTTGGTTCCACATGACCTTCAATTAGAAAGGTGCACTGTATATCTTACTCAATTCACTACTACGCACAAAAATGTAAATTCTCAAATTTATTCCAGATTTTTTTGTCTGGGCAGTAGTTTAAATACTAAAGGCTCACTTTAGGGAAATCTGTCTAACAATTAATATTCTAAAGAGAAAACAAGAAATATTTAGGATTCAATAAAGGTTGATAGAAAGTCATTATCCTATCAGTGGCAATGGCTTAATGTTTCTGGTTCAGGGTATTACAGAATGATGTTTCTGACCATCGTTTCACACAATGACACTTTCCTCACTTCTGTTACTTTCACTGCTTGATATTTACATTTCAATAAAGCCTGAAATCTGTGTTCAGAAGCTGGTGGGAAGGAGCTATGATATTGGAAGCCACTTTGTGTTTTGCAGCCATGTGGAAAAGAACAATAGTTACCAACATTTGAACTTGCTCGTTTATCCTATCTGTATTCGCATAGCACATCATTACTGACATCATTAGAAGGCCACAGCCTTTCCAGCTCTATCATTATCTATCCATCAGAAGACTCTTCTGCTCATTAGTTACAGACATTAAAATTCTTTATCATTTTACCTTTCTGTGGAATGGGTGGCACACCTTTATAAAACGTCTTCACGTAAGATTAGATAGAGGGCTTTTTGCTTGCAAGTTACTCTGAAGCTTAATGAATTAAGGAAATGAAAAAAGCTTTTAGCTGTAACCTATTTCAGTTCCACATAAAAAACCATCCACAAAACATGTTTAAACATTGAAAATTTATAACAGAAGTAAATGAGAAATCATACACAAAATACACAACCAGGAAAATGTACTTGAGATTAATGTTCTCAAACATGCATCTAGATGATCGAACAGCAACACTACAGTGACAATGAAGTAAATTTCTGTCAGATATTTCTAATGCTTCTGGCAGCTCCATCAGAGACTAACAAGTCTCACATGCTGATGGCAATACTGTTCTGAAAACTTGCTGATCCTTCTTGTACTTTGTGTTTGCCTAAGTTTCAGACGTCTCAGCCAACCGGAAGAAACTACTCTACTCAACTATTTTACTTTCTCCTAACAGGGACCACTGGAAATGCCAACCTTTAAAATCTAATAGTTTCAGACCTAAGAAAGCAATGACAGCATAATTATTTGCTTGTATGTCGGCAGAAATACTAAGGAGTATAGTACTCAGACTGGGGTTTACAGTAGTAAAGTAGATGCTACAGAAGAGCAAAGGAGGAGATATGTTTGTCATATTTATGCCTGAAGCATTTCAAAGTGGCTTCTAACTCAAGTTGTCTGCTTCTGTAGTCTCCTAAACATACAACACAGTAAATCTATTAAAACAGGACTGAAATGAGTTTTTTAACTATTGACCAGAACATCTCTGATTTTAAAACATGTGCATTTTACTCAGCCATGTTAATACACTTGCAAAATGACATACTCAGAAATAGCATAAAGAATGATTTTCTCTACCACTACCACACAGCTTCATACATAATGCATTAGTTATGTACTGCTATCATACTTCAGACTACAGAAGAAGACAGGAGACCAAATTCTCCTACGTGATGTGAGACAAACTTAATCATACCTACAACCCTACTGACACCAATACAACTGCTGCTTTGCATAAAGTAAAATTTTGTCCCATGTTTCAGGTTGAAGTTTCAGGCTGGAACTAGTGATTTATACATACTCTAAGAAAAGGGTTACTTACACAGCAGTTACAATTACCACAGGCCACTTCACTGAAATTGTGCTAGTGAAAAATATTTAAAAGTAGTACTGTATATGCATGTTATTAGCACAACAAAATTTTAAGCCAATACTCTTCCTAAACAAGAATCAACCCTAGGAAAAGTATGATGCGATCCAGTACAAATTTTACAGAACAATACAACTACTAAAAAACCAAAATCAAACACCCAAACTAGTACACTTCACACTAGATATTCTTAACAAGTGTCTGATATAATTAGGCTGTGGTTAAGTTTTAAGTACATCACTCTGGTAGAAGCACATTTAATTGTTTACAAATGAAGGCTCTTTGTTTATTTTCTTGATTCATGCAGATTAGTATTAAGCACGAATATCATACATCACAAGTATGAATTCACTTGCCATGCATGCTCTTCAGATATGTCAGTCTACAAAGTAATATTTTAATTGCATATCTTTACCTGTTATCACTATGCCCCAATTATGTCACTGAAATATTTTAAGTAAAGCCTATAGAACTAACAGAAAAACTACAAGGTGTAGCAAGCACAGTTTATTAGCTTAAGATGCAAACAATTGTAAAATGACATAAAGGTTTTCATCCTCCCTTAAAAACTATTTCTGACACTTCTGTTGATAAAACAGAAGAGATCTAAAAATTAGTGCTTTAACTGCCAATACATGAATATGTAACTTTTTGTAACGTAACATAAATGTTTTTAACAAGCAACTGTAACAGAACAAGCTCTCTTGCTGTACAGAAGTCATCAGAATCAGTCTTGACACAGAAATCCTAAAAATTGAAAACTACAGGCAACACATAATAAATGCCATCACATACACTGAAAAAATATCTGCTCATCCTGACTTAGAGCTGGGGAAGTAAACTCTTTCTTAATCAGAATTACCAAATCCTGAAAAATTTCTGTACTTCCAGTGAAAAACATTTTAGGTGAACCATTCTGTATTCCCAAATTCTTAATTTATTGTTATATAAAATTAGCTTCATAAGCTAATTTACTCACAACTGCCAAAAAAACCAGTAGCTATGATGACAGTCTTAAATGGGATGGGGAGGTCATACCTTTGGTAGTAATTTTCGATAGCTTCAGCAGTGTGATGCTTGGCATGTGTTCTTTTGATTTGTTTCTAGAAAAATGAAAAAACAAAGACTTTTACAAATGTGTCATAGATCAAAACACAGAAATCATGACTACGCAAACAGGCGATCCTTGGATACACTTTGATAGATGTGAAGCACGTTTTTAGATTCTGTACAGAAATGACATTCAATCTACCTATTGAATTGAACGTCTTCAGACTGTACTGCAATGTACCATATGTAAAAGCCAGTAAGGTCACAATAATTGAATCTAAATAAGTTTACTGAAGGCTGCTGAGGGCAAAGAAAAACTTGTTCTCTCTTTCAACCTTTGTATTAATTTTCCCTCAATTCAATTTCATCTAAGTCTGGTGCACTCTAGTTTTACAATTCAATTGGCATTTTTAACCAGGAAGAACATTGCTTAAAAACAACTTATTTGAAAAACTACAAAAAGTAATTCCACAGAGACTTGCCACTTGACTGACACCTGTCATCTCATGATAAATGACTCCATTTTCTGCCTCTCTTGCCTTCTGCCACTCCGGCAATGGTCATTTATCATCATCTCTGTCAGCAATGGAAAGCAGCACTGACAGTGCAAGTCAGCAAACATTTAGCACATGGAACCACGCAACACAGGGAAATTATTATTGTCAGAATAATAATGGTTTAGCATAATTTATTACAGGTCCACCAAATAAGCAAAGGCTAGATGTTATTAGACAGATGGATGGGTAGGCTTGGCAGCCATCCACTGAGACTCAGGCGGTGCTTGATGTGGAAAAAGGAACATCCTCCAAACCAATCAGAAAGCTGGCAGTTCAATTACAAAGAAATAAAGGGACATTCATCATTCAATTAGGCACCTGTCAACCCTCACAAAGGAGAAAACTTCTAACCTGGTACTCCTGGGAGAAGATGCTCAGCAGAGTGGACTGCGATTGACTGGAACAAATAAAAGAAGGACAAAGTTAATTACTGGAGTGCACTGCAAAGAAACAAAAGAGAAGGGAGCTTCAAAGGTAGGCCTGCTGCCCTGTAATCTAACAGAACATGAAAACAAGTGTGGAAAAGTTGTTCCAGATGAACACCTCATACAAAGGCTTCCTGCTGCTAGGTCAAGGAGAGAGCATATGAGGGAGGGCAGGAAAATATAGCAAGAATTTCAAACCAAACTAGAATATTGCTCGGGAGATTCAACTTCAGAACCCAAAAGTCCTACCAGGAACAAGTCGTGGAGCTAAAAGATAACAGAGGAAAAAAAGGAAATTAAAGCAAAATTTCCATTAATAATTGATAGAGTTAAATTCCATCAGCAGTTGGGAACACACTGCTTGTTCACTGGCAACATATTGAAATTCATTTTGTTAGCAGCAAGGGAACTTCTTCAGTAGCTGTCTCATATTCAGGTTAAAAACTTCCCCCTCTGTCAGAAGTAGCATATGGGACTAGTGGAACATTCCCACTGAAACTGATGTGCTTTGAAAATGGAAACTTTCACAGCAGGAAGCCAAGATTCCCGGGAGTCGGTCATTTCCAAAAGCTGCCATAAGCTTAATTCATCTAAGGCTCCACTCAATGTCAAACACCTGGCAATGAAGCAACCTGGAAAGCATTCTTCCCAAGTGGGAATTTTTCTCTCTGAATTGTTAACATTTAGAAATGAGACAAGATTTTTTTTCCTCTGAAAGGCAATCAATACCACACCGCTACTGTTTTCAATTGTCCTCTGTGGATATACCTACCTCATCACATCCTGAACGCTACTAATTACTCCTGATATATTTTTCTACTACATGCAACTTGAACAAATTATAATCTCAATAAATCGAGTTTTATGGTACAGCAAAGCATTATGAATAATTAACATTTTTCCTTTCATAAACTTACCTACTATGGCACAGCATAGGTAGTTCAAAGATTCTACAACGTCTAAAGTCTCACTCTTCTGTCAGATTTCTTTTAAGTGAATTTAACACCAGTATCATATCATAATTACATTAAAAGTACATGTTCTCTCCATACATAAATGACTCTTCTCCTTCCAACTATCATACTTCAGAAATATTAATTTAAGATAGGGAAGTCCTACTCCCACTTTCAAAAGGGAACACTGAGTCACAAAACAACTAAATGGTTGGATCAGAGTTAAACAGACAGTATGTATATGCAGCATGGTACAAAGTTACCTCTAAACCAAGCAGCTGAAAAATAAGGAACAAAGTGACTAGATTAACACAGTGCTGTATAAAGAATTTACAAGTATGTCTTATCTATAGCTGTGCTTCCAGGCTTTTTGCCATAACTGTATTTTGGGCTTGTCTGCCCAGTGCAACATCTGCGTGACAGCAGTAAGCTGAGCCTTGATCTTTGGTATTTTACACATGAGACTGTTCACCTCGAGTACTCACTGAGAATGAACTTTAGAACTGCAGAAAAACGATAGCAACACAAACTGGCTAACATATAGATTTATTAAATTCATAGATTACAGAAAAAATATGTACAATGCAGTAAAGAATTTAATTTTTATTAAAGTCTCTATTAAATCAAATAAACAGTATTTAAATAATAAATATTTATTTAAATATACATGTGACACAGAGGCCAGGAGTTACATGCTACAAAGCCTCTTCAAAAGGCGTACAATCCAATTATGACAATCTGCAACCTGCACATGTAATAACTAGAAGGTGAACAAAGGAAAGAAATTAGGATTATATACCTACACAGGCTACACATCTACAGAAAACTACGATATTTCAAGTTGATGTAAAAAAACCCCAAACCCGCAGGCTATAAATAAGTTGGATATATATGGCCCCCTAATGGCTCACCACATAACTATTATTACCTTGTAGATTTACATGGTCATAATGGTAGAACTGAATTTAAAGATAGATGTGGGAAAAAACCCAAAACAGATCAGGATAACATTTGACTAGACTTCTGGCTTGAGTTCTCCTCCATTGACACAGCAATTTTTGTGTTTTTAGGCTATTCCAGGTATGATAATTGTACTTATACTACCATTATCCTATTATACACTGACAGTGACATCAAAAAAACCTATGACCATTATCCCTCCCTCCCATTACATTCCACCTTTAATGGCAGACTAGGAAATGCCAGGTTAGTGGTTGGACTTGATGACCTTCAAGGTCTTCTCAAAACTAAATGTTTCTCTTATTCTTGTCCATCTTATTTGTCCCCTTGGTGTCCTTGGATTTTGACCTTCTGCTTCAATTTAGTTCAACACTCCTCTCCTATGCTTCCAACTGTTCAGATAATTTAGAACTTAGCATGAATATTGAAAAAATTAATTCCAAAAATAGTGGAAACTGGATATATACTGGATTACAGTACAGAAACCACTGGGGAAAAGAGAATTATTTCAATAACACCATTCAAAGAATTTCAAGTCTTACTACTAGATGATCTTTCCCCTTCTCCAGAAGAAGTGGATTTATATCTTTGCATGGCTACTTCCATGTTTCTTTGGTTAACACAGTTCCCGTCTTAAACACTAAAACCACTCATCTGGCGCTCAGTGTTTCCTTGCTACAATTTCATTGAGACAACTTCCTGGCAAAATGAAATAGCTCCTCAAAACACAGATGGAGAATCTATTGAAAGACCCACTGAGTGAAAACTGAAACATCACGGTTTCAGAAAGCACTGAAAAACACAGTACTATGTATGTGGAGAAGGAAGAAAAGTCATGAGCATGATCCCAACTACTGATACTGACAGCAAGAATACTACCATAGAAGTTATCATTACTTCTACAGTAACAGCTAAATTCCCAGGGCTCCATCCATCCTCCAATACCTCTATACAAGATTTCAAAGCAACAAATGAGCAGACAAATGCATTTATCGCCGAGCTATCCATGAAAACAAATGTAACACTGAAAGTGTTTTTTATTCAAAATAACATTTGAGTACTGCATTATTGCCTTTCATGGAATAAACTATATAGTAAGCCTCATGGCTCACTTGAAGACTAGGAATATAGATGTTAGTAACAAGCACACTCTATTGTTAACAAACAACTGTAGAGCCAAGGTACATAATTGCTAATTTTTCTGAAACAAACAAACAAAAAATCCAGAAGTCAAAATTCTGAGTACTACCTCATTTAAACATTTTATAAATTAACTTGTTATCTCTCTTGTAGACCTAAGTATATTTTCCAGGGAAATAAGCAAACTTTTCTCTTAAGTTCTGTAGAGACAACTTTCATGGAAACATTTTCTTCTGCAATTCCAGACAGTAATGAATCTAACTCCCAGAGCTCTGTTCAAAGCATCCAGCCTTGCTCTTAAGATATCCTCTTTTTCTTGTATACTGGCATCCACAATGACACCAATTCACCTTTTGTTACTCTGTGTTGATGTCAGTGGCATACTTCCATCTGAATCCCTGATGTACTTTTTTCCCTTCTCAATACGTAAGTGGATTTGAGCAGAAAACAGTGAAATCTAAAACTGGCCAAAAATGCCCATTTTTTAAAAGATAAAATTATTTTTATTTTATAACACGAAGTATAATTTCTAGGTTCCAAGCATATAAAGATATAAAAATATATCTGCCATAAAAAAACCCCAGTATTACACTTATCAATATTTCTAATATACAAATCCAACATTTAGAATGGGATGCCCAAGTCAGTCCAGAAAAAGGAATAAGAGAAATTATCTCTAAGAACTGAGATACCAGTCAAGCTTAGAAAGAACACTGCAAATTTAGTGCTGGGAAAAGAATATGTCCTTTGGTCAATTACTAAGTAAGAATAAAATTTATACCATTCTCTTCTAATGAATCTCAGAATTTGGTAGACAAGGAATGTTATAATCTCTTGAGAGTGTTTCAGAAATGTTCTGGTTTGCAACGATTATTCATAGATAAAGTAGTAAAAGATAAGTTACTACTTCATAAAAGTTCATATACTACTTCATAAACTACTTCATATATTCATAAGTTACTACGTCATATAAGTTTAGTGCTTCATAACTAGAGTAGATACAGAACTTTGGCTAAGAAGCAAATAGTAATGATGAAAGCAATTTAATTGCACCAGACCATCACCTCAACAAAATGGAACTGCAGATGCAACCAAGATTTGGAGTGCTGTCCAGCTTAATATTTGCTACTTACTTCAGCCTCACCAGGAGAAAATACAAGCATAACAAATGTTATGCAAATATTATATTATCAGCCCTTGCACATAATGAATTATTTACAGACAAGATAAAACTTAGAGGTTTTTTACTTTATTTTCTGAGATTACTGAAAACATGGAGTTGTAGGTGCAAACTAAGTTTCCACTTGTTTCATATTTTAGAATGAGTTTCCTTTTCCTCATTTTTAACTCCACACTTGTTGCCTAAAGCAGAAAGAGTAAAAAATCAGTTTTACATTTAATATATTTTACCATGGAACAAAGGAAGAGTATCTAGAGAGATCTGTAAAAAAAACCAAAAAAACAAATCAAGAGTAAATATGAACTGCAGTATTTAATCCAGAAGTATTCATACAAATGGAGACAAGCAAGGGGAAAGCATAGTCCATAAGACAAATACATTGTACATATAAACAGAATAGCTTCATTGTTTCCTTTTCACACAATGGAATATTTCACTTTATTAAAATGATAAATATATTGGTTAAAAAACTGAGTGTAGGGGCAGGAGCTGTGTTTCCAAAATTCAGAAGCTGTCACATGTGAAACCCCAAAGCTGCAGTGTCAAACCTTCTTGCTGTAGAACATAGACTGCCACTTAGCTACAGCAGGAATTCAAGTAAGGGGGAAAATTGTTTCTTTCCTTCCACAGTCTCTAGTGAGTATGCAGCACTAGTCATATCTTTCATGATATTTTCTGAAGTAGATAGCAAGAGTCTCTCATTTTTTTTAACTAAAAAGAACTTCCCCTTTCCATGTAT